TTTTTTTTTCTTTTTTTTTTTGGTACCCAGGATCAAACTTGGGACCTTGTGCTTGCCAGGCAGGCACCGGAACCACTGAGCTAAATCCCCAGCCCTGCTCTTATAATTTTGTTATTTTTTAAATAGTAGATATTTATTTACTAATATACCTAATACTTTATTGTTTAGTAATGTTACGGTTATTTAGTAATGTCCAATAATGTTGGACTTGGTCTTTAAAGCAGCAGTGTTCAGAAGTAGAGTATTTGGGAAGTGATAGGATCGTGTTATAGCTTGTGTTTAGATGTCCCTCCAAATCCTCATGCAGCCTTAGGTGAGGCTTTTTCAGAGGTGGCTGGATCTAGAGTGTGTGACTGGGATTGATTCATGGTGCAATGCCAGGATCAAGGCCACTGGATTAAGGGTGTGGGTGCTACCTGCCCTAAGTAGCCTGGGTAAGACATAAGGGATAGAAAGAGCTGTGATCAAGCCTTGTTGCTTTGCTACCCTCTGCCCTCCATGGACTGTTTCTCCTCTGAGATGCCACCCTGCCTTGGAGCCAGCAGATTATGGACTGAAACCTCTGCAAACTGTGAGCTAAATGAATCTTTCCTCCCTTAACTTTGGATCATGGGTATTTTGTCTCAGTAACAAGAAAAAGTAACTAAAACAGATCATGAGGGCTCTAATTTTGTTGTTGTTGTTTTTTTGTTTTGGAGGGGTTTTGCGTTTGCTTGTTTTTGAGACAGAGTCTCACTGTGTAGTTCAGGCTGGCTTTGAACTCACTATGGAACCCAGGCAGGCCTCAAACTCACAATGATCCTCTTGCCTCAGTGCTGGTCCTCCAAAGAGCTGGGATTACAGGTGGTTTTTGGTTTTTTTGAGACAAGGTCTCACTATGTAGTTCAGGCTGTCCGTAAACTCACTATATAGCCCAGGCTGGCCTCAAGCTTATGGTGGTCCTCTTGCCTCAGCTTCCCACTTGCTGGGATTACAGGCATGTACCAACATAACTGACGAATCTTATCAGTTGTCAATCCATTGATGAATTCATAGCTCAGTGGCTCATTAGGAGGTGGGAATTAACTGGATGTACCGGTCACTAGTAGCTTCTTTAGGCTGAAGAGTATATTTTGTCCCAGTCCTTTTCTTTTCTCTCTGTCTATATGTCTGTCTTTCTATCTCTGTTTCTCTGTCTGTGCCCCCCACCCTCTTCCTGGCTGCCATGAGGCGAGCAGCTTTGCTCCACTTCACTCTCTGCCATGATGCTGTGCCTTACCTCATGCCCACAGCAATGGAACAAAAAACCATGGACTGAAACCTCTGAAACTGTAAACCAAAATAAATGCTTCCTTCTTAAAGTTGACTTATATCAGACATTTTGTCACAGTGATGGAAAGCTGATTACATATCTTATATCTGAATCAATGAGCTTTTAATTTATATTATCACTGATCATCTAGTTCATACAATTTTAAGCAATGAGGCTACTATTCAGTTTTGAAAACTTGGCTTTTACTAGCACAAAAAGGAGATGTAATAACCTTAGTTATGGATTTCTCAGATAATGATGAATGTTAGAATCTTTTTTTTTCAATGATAGAATCTTGAAAACTGAGATTTCAGACCTGTCACAAATAGCTGAAATGCAATGTTAATGTCACACACCTCCATTTGATTTCAGTGCTGAAGATGGAACCCAGGCTCTCATATATGCTAGGCAAATATTTTACCATTGAACTATATCTCCAGCCCCCCTCCCCACAAGAAAGACTTTTTCATGAAATAAAATAGAATGACATTTTTCTACATAAACATGTAATAGGGGATACTGGCAGGTGCTGGGTAGCCAGATGGCAAAATGAAGAAAAAGGAAGGGTATTTACTATTGTTACTCTCCATTGTATGTATATATTTAGTACCTGGGATTGAACTCAGAGCCTTTGCTCTGAGCTACATCCCCATTCCTTCTTTTATTTTTTATTAGTCATTAAATTGCTCAAGGTGGGCTCATCATTCAGGATCCTCCTGCCTCAGCTTTTCAAGTGCTTGGATTATTACAGGTGTATACTACTGTGCCTGGCTTGTATATTCAACTTTATAGTTTGCCTTTCACTACTCAGCCATAATATTTAGTTACAAATTTGCTAGTTACAGATTCAGCAGGTTGACTACCTTGTGACAAGGATAAACAACTTTTCAGACAGGGGGTTTTAAACCTCTGATTACCAATTTCATTGTATTTTGGGACAAATAATACAGTATACTCTCTTGCTTCCATATGCAGAAGCTACTAGAATCTTAAAACTAGAAACACAACAAAACAAACAAAAAAAACTACCTTATGTTACAGATGAGAAAATTTAGGTTCAAGAAGTTCTCACTCATCCAAATCACAGAATTAGTTAGTAGCAAAGCTAAAATTCCAACTGATTTGGTTCCAATTTCTAGAACTTCCACTCTTCCAAACTGCCTTTTTTCCCCCACACAAGGCCAGTAAGTTCTGGATTTGTGGTTTTGAGGGATGGCTGTATTCACCAGAGAGGAGATTTCTTATTTGCTTTAGGGTCTGCCTTCTTCTAAAATGAAAATGCCAGCTGGGCATGGTAGTGCACGCTTGTAATCCCAGGACTCCAGTAGGCTGAGGTAGAAGGATCATAAATTCTAGCCCATCCTGGGCAACTTTATAATTTAGTGGGACCCTGTGTCAAAATTAAAAGTTTTTTAAAGTGCTGGGACTATTTCAGGGATGTAGCCCAGTGCAAAGGCCCTGGGTACAATACCCAGTACAAAATAATAAAACAAACCCAAAAACCTTTTAGAGTCAGGAATAATGAATAATATTTTATAGTACCTTTTAAAGGATTCCTGCATATTTTCAGATCAGTAGCTGCCTTGGTATTTCACACTAATAATGATTTTATTAAAGTGAAGTCCTATAACAGGAATCTAAGCAACTGGGGAAACAAGGTGAGGTACCTGGAGGGTTGATTTGGGTGGAGGTGTTTTGGAAAATTGTCTGGGCCAGCTGTGATAAAGAGATACTATTTAAAGAAGCCATTTCCTTGAACAGTTAGATCAGTGCTCTATAACTGGAGGTGATTTTGCTTGCTAGGGAAACTTTGGCAATGTCTAGACACACCTTTGTCACAACTGGGAAGGGAGATGTAGCTGGCATCTCACAGGCTGAGGCCGAATATACTGGCAAACATTCTACAATGCAGATTAAGGTGTCTAGTGGCATGCAGCACAGTTCTGACCCTGGCTCTTTTTTGTTTTGTTTTGTTTTTTTGCTTAAAAATATTTTATTAGTACACATTTGCAGTAAGTGAGTACATTCACCTGGGGGAGCTGGTAAGTGTACGTAATATATCTTAATTCTTTTTACATTCCTAAGGTCTTGCTATAGTAGACCAGGGGACCTTGTATTTGCTGTGTAGTCCAAACTGGCCTCAAACTCACACTCCTCCTGCCTCAGCCTCCTGAGTTCTGGGATAACAGGAAGCACCACCAAGCCCAGCAGCTCTATCTTAGTACATCTGAGCAAAGATTTGGATAGAATACTGATCAAATTTGAGGATGATGATCCTGGGAGGGTGGGGATCCAAAAAGATTGTGACCACCTGGAATGGTGGTTTGCTGAATTCAGAGCACCACAGTTCACTGGGACACTATGTATAGAATGTCCAGAAGACTAAAGGGAAGGTTGAGAAAGAACTGGAAAGAACAGGCCTTGGGGATACTGGGAAGGACCATTAAAAACCCTGGTGGGAGGAGACTACAAAAGACATGCTAACTGCCATATCACAGGGCTCTGAGGGAGGATTGTCTGTGCAGTGTGGCCTCTGGGGAAACTGGAATCAACAGATGTAAGTGATAGCCAGGTTTTGGCCTGATAGGAGAGGCTGATTAACAGACGTTAGAATTGTTCAAGGAAGAGCAAGGCTCGGAAAGCAGAGTTCTTGATTACGGTCAGGACGGACCCGCGATGGTTTCTATTAGCCGCGCTAGGGCAAGGCATGCACTGCAGTGAGCGCCTGCAGTCCCAGCTACGCGGGAATCTGAGGCCGGAGGAATGCCAGAGCCCTGGAGATGGAGACCCCTGTCTCAAAAACAAAACAGAAATGTTGCGGCGAACTGCCGGTTAGCACTGGTGCCTCGCCCCTCCTATAGTGGGCTCTGAGTTCTGTCCCCCTCGGGCTCACTGTCCTCGGAGGGCGGCACAGGCGCGTCCCGAGCACCAGCCCTGCCTGGGAACAGCTCGGCCCACGAAACTTGAGGTTCACTGCGAAGGTTTTGTGAAACAGCTGTGGTCCGTGGCGTCTTTCTGCTTTTCAGACTTCGTTCGCTTTTTATTTGTATTTATTTTGGTACTGCGGATCGAACTCGGGACCTTGCGCTTGCGAGACAGGCGGCGGCACCACTGAGCTCAATCCCCGGCCCCCTGGTTGCTTTTTAAAGTCGTCTGTGCAATCAGGGAATTCTGCGGGACACTACACACGCAGGTGTTTGACTGTGTCACTGCCGCGTTTTAAACAAGAGTTGAGGACGTGTGGCCCCTAACAAGGCAAGAAGGCTCGCCTACAGGGGAACTGGATTTTCCTCAGGGTAGGACTAGCTCCGAGAGGCCGTAGGGTCACGGGCTGCAGCGCGTTAGTCGACTCCCAAAGCTGCTTCGGGGAAACCTCGCGGCCCCTCACAAACCGACCGCGGGCTCTGCGCCTACCGCCGCAAGCCTAACGCGACTCGCGTTTCCTGGGGGCGCGCTAGGGCGCGCGACCGAGCCCTCGGGAGCCGCAGAACGGACCAATGAGCGGGCTCCCTCTCCGCGCGCGCTCGGGATTGGGAGAGCCGAGCCAGCAGCTCGATTTGGCAGTGGGCGGGGCGCTCCAGGGAGGGGCTGGGATAGGCGCGCCCGCTGCGCCAGAGTCCCGGGGGCGCGTGCGCGGTCTCGCGGCGGCCGCGGGGGCCGGTCTCGCGCGGTCTCGAGGTGGAGTTGCTGGCGGCGGTGAAGGCGGAGACGGAGGAGGCTGGCGGAGGGGAGGGGGCGGGGATTCAAGATTCCGAGGTGGGGATTTGGGAGTTTCTGGATTCTTTATCTCGGGTGTGAAGCGCTGCCGGAGGGCTGTCTCTTCCTGCGGTGCTTAGCAGCGGCCGCGGCGGGAGGCTGGGCGCTCGTCGTGGCGCGGAGGTAAGAGGCGGCCGGGTGGCGGAGATCCCAATCAACAGGTCGGCGGGAGCGCGGCGGGGGAGGGGCGGCGGGGCTGGGTCCCCCACTCCTGCTTCCTGGGCCCCCGCGGGACCCCACGCAGCGAGTCCGCGGTCCCGAGCGCAACCTTTGTCCCCCGAGGGGCGCTCCTGCGCCGCGGCCGGGACCCACCTTGGTCCGGGCGTCCTCTGTCCCCGCCCGAGTCGCGGGGGGCGCGGCGGGGAGCTGTCTGCCCTGGGCGCCGCGGAACTCCCTCGCTCCGGGCCAGTCGGGACGCCGGCGGAGCGGACACTTTCCTTTAGCAGACCGATGTCGTCGGCGTTCCTGCGCCTGAGTCAGTCGGCTCCTGGTGTTCTCTACTCGTGCATTCTTTGAACAGATAACCAGTTCCTGCTTCCTTGTGACCACTTTGAAAGAAAAGCCTAATGTCGTCAATGCTTTCTCATAATTTACTCTGAAATTGCGAGTTGAACTTTGAAGCCTGAAAATTGTTGGAAGCTACTTTAAATAAGAGGCGCTTCAAAGATCTTGCAAATTATGTAACTTCCTAAAGATAACTCACCTTCTGTTTAGTTGATTGACACGCAGTAATGTGTTTGGAATTTAGGTTTCGGTTGAAAGGTTTTTCGAGGCAGTTTACGTTAAAATTAAAATCTGATAGCCGAGAGGCTTTTAGAAGTAGTTTGTAGTATATTTTGACCCTGTCCCTTAGATTTGGAAAGCCTGTATAACAAAAATCTTAAAAGTTTTGATTTGACCGACAAGGTGAAAGTTAATATTTCCGGATTTTAAAAAAGCAATACTATGTTTTAATGATAGCATCCTAATTATGCGCTTAAATTATACAAGTTAATAAGCTATTAAATTCTGCAAGAGGAACACATGACGTGTTGGTTATTGGTGTCTTTGAAGTATGAGTATTGGTGGAAATGAAAATTACTAAGCTTTCTTGAATATAAACAACTGAGTTTTTTAACAAGATTACTGTGACCATAACGTAAAGTTTTAAAATGCTGTCTAAACTATAACAGGCTGAAGTAAAAGTTTTACAGATGAAACAGGCAAAAATATGAAACGCGCTTCATTATTTTAGATTTGTTTTTTAAAAATCATGTAAATCTTACCCTGAGTGACTTCCTTGGGTGACTTTTGGCTAAAGCAGACTTGAACGGGATAAGTAAAGGTAGACTGAAGAATATAGACTTGTTTTAAAATGTTAAAATAGGAAAGGTTATGTAAATTTTACTTGAAGATGACCTAAGTCAGTACAGTGGTTTGGCTGTTTATATGTGATCTTCCTGAATTATAATCTTGATTAAAAATTTCATGACAGACATACCAAGAAGTTTGGTTTGTTTTACCTATCAGTATAGTGAGATTCTGTATTTCTCATAGATTCTCCGATTTAGGGTATCTGGAAAAATAGTATCTTGATATATATGCTTTAGAGTGTAATTTATTATATACTTAATGAGTCATAGAATCATTGAGTTGGAAATAATCTTAGTGGTTATATAGTGTAACTTTGCCATTTTCTGGGGGGAAAATGTTTTATAGAGATTAATTAGCCTGTAGTCTGCTAGATAGTGATGCAGTTGGAGCTAACTATAAAAATGTTTATCTCCATGTTCTAAGTTCAGTGCATGCCTCCCTTGTGCATTTTTTCTTAACACCCACTGAAGGGTATTTTTCAGTTTTTCAATCTTTTTTCATTTTTTGTTACTGGGGATTGAATCTGGGACCTCGCACATGCTAAGCAAGCACTTTACCACTCAACTACATCCCCTTCCCCCTTTTTGAGACAGGTCTTGCAATATAGTGCAGGCTGGCCTTGAACTCACTGTATAACCTCATGTTGGCCTTGAACTTCTGGCGACCCTCCTGCCTCAGCCTCCCAAGTGATGGGATGTGCGTCACCATGCCTGACTCAGTTTTTCAATATTTCAAGCAATGTTTAATAAATGTCTGTGTTCCTGTCTCCTTGAGCATCATTTCTGCCAAGACAAAATGAGTGACAGTGGTTTCTCATCCTTATTGGTGTTAGCAGATTTTTAAGTTTCTGCCAGTTGGTTAGATCTTATGTAGTACCTGTTTCCTTTCATCTGTGGTAAGCATCAGTGGCCCCTAAACATGTACTAATGACTGGAACTGTGAATGTTTGGTTACATGATGAAAATGAATTAAGGTTGTTAGTCAGCTGGCTTTAAAAATTGGGAGATTTTCCTTGATTATCCAGGTGTGCCTAAATATCAAAAGTCGTTACAAGGGAAAGAAAAAGGCAAAGGAATAGTCAGAAAAAAGATGTAACAAAGGAAGCAGAGTCAGAGAAATGGAAACTGTTAAATTTATGGTAATTTGTTGTAACAGTATGTGAAAGTAACACTATCAAATTGTTTTCAAGATGGCTGAACCACTTTGCCTTCCCCACTAGTATTATATGAGAGTTCTAATAGCTTTAGATCCTCATCAGCACTTGGTATGATCAGTCTTTTTAATTTTAGACATTTGATAGGTATATGGTAGTATCTCATTGTGACTGTTAGTTGCAATTCTTATGATTAAGGGTGTTAAGTATCTTTTCACGTGCTTATTTGTCGTCTTATATCTTCTTTGGTGAAGTGTCCACATCTTCTGCCCATTTTTATTTACTTTTTCAGAGCCTTCCTCTGTTCTGGTTGTCCTTGAACTTGTGGGCTCAAGTGATCTTCCTGCCTCATTCTCCCCAATGGCTAGGACTATAGGCCTACACCGACTTGACTCACCGTTTGTTTCCTTATTGTTGAATTTTGAGTGTTCTTTGTAGCCTTTTGTTCAATAAATGGTTTATCAAGATTTTCTCCCAGAGGGGCCGGGGATTTAGCTCAGTGGTTCCACAGCCTGCCTCACAAGCGCAAGGTCCTGGGTTTGATCCCCGGTACCAAAAAAAAAAAAAAAAGATTTTCTCCCAGAGTTTCATTTGTTTAATACAGTTATTCCATGACCATTTGTTGAAAAGATTCTCCTTTCTCGTTGAGTTGCACTTATCTCTGTCAAAAACCAAGTAACATAGACTCTTCTGTTTCATTGATCTGCTTGTCTGTCCTTTTGCCAATAAAGTCTTTATTATAATAATTTAAACATGTCTAGACATCAGGTAATGTGAGGCCCCCAACTTTTTTTTAAATTATTGTGGTTATTTTGGTTCCTTTGCCTTTCCAAATAATATTTAGAAACAGCTTGTTGATATTCCCCAGAAAAATCTGTTGGAATTTTTATTGGGATTATGTTTAATCTGTAGATCAACCTGACTTTTTAACAATATTGAGTCTTCTAACCTGTGAACACAGTATTTATTTAGATCTTTTTAGGTTTCTTTCATGGGGTTTTGTAGTTTTCAACATACAGGTGCAACAAATATTGTAATAGGTTTATACCTAAGTATTTCAAATCTTTTGGTCCTATTGTAAATGGTAATTTTTAAAAATTCAATTCCCAATTTATCATTAATAGTTTATAGAAATTCAGTGAACTTTTATATATTGATTTTGTATCTATATGGCAGATTGAAAACAGGAAGACTTGTTTAAAATTACTAAAGGAAGAAAAAATGTTTCATTATAGTCAAACATTTCTCACACTGGGTTTATTTAGACAAGTTGTTTAAATGGACTTGGATAGTGAAGTGTTTTTTTACAAATGTTCTTAGATGCTGTATTCATAATAATAAAAATACGCCTTTGAATGGACATTTAAACTAATATATCCATTCTGTAAAATAATATTCTGCAGTAAAAAGAAACTACTGCTACATCCCATCATCTAGATGAATCTCTACAAGATAATGCTGTGTGGAAAAAACCAATTTCAAAAGATTATTATGTGATTCTGTTTATAACATTGTTGAAATGGCAAAATTGTTGAAGTGTTGCACAGACCAGGGGTTGTGGATGTGTTAGAGGAGGGAGGGAAATACAAGAGCAACTTGAGGGGTCATTGTGATCATGGGGATCTTGTGTATCTTGACTGTTTTATTATATACCACCAGTGGCAACATCCTGATGGCGATGTACTATATGGTTTCAAATGATACCATTGGGGAAATTTGATAAAGAGTATATAGAATGTATTATTTCTTAACTACATGTGAATTTTAAATTATCTCAAACTAAAAAGTCTAATTTAGGAAAAAAAACCTCAAAAGTACTTAAAGGCAGAATAATAACTAGCTAGTTACATCTTGTATAATTGGAAGAAACTTCTTGGAAGTGTGTTCCCTATAAAGGATGAGACCTTGAGAACAATAATTTGAGGTGATATGTTAAAAGAATAAACTGAATTTACACCTCAAAATTTTGGAGACTACTGCAAATTTTTATTTCTTGCACTGATTATACAAAAGCCAGCATAAGTATGTAAGAGTCCCACATATATGTTCCTTTTACGTTTCTGTTGGCATTACTGCCTAAAAGAGGCCTTAGACTGAGAAATTGCACAACTCACCTGCCTGAAAAGATAATGATGATTAAAACAACCAATGCCTGCCTTGCTTTCCCTGCCTTTACTGTAGGTCAGAAGGGTTGAAATCATCCAAAAGGGAAGGAGACATAGAACAGAAGCATGATTGTACAGTAAATCTTCTGAAGCAAAGAAACTATTTTGTGTGAGTGTAAAGCAAATGGACCTGACCAAGAATGATCTGAGGAAAACTTAAGTCCAGTTGAGATCTGAAAGCAGTAAGACTTACTAAGGGGAACACATTACTGATGAGATAGATAGTTCATGCAAAGGTATAGGAGGACCAAATGTAGTTCATGTGGAGAACTGAAAGGAGACCAGTGTGGCTACAAGTGCAGCAGAGACATAACATTTGAGAAGTATTGATGTGGAAGTCTTAATTCCATTTCTGGCTAAGGATAAGGTTCTTTAGAGATCCAGTGTGAGGAGCTGTCCATTTATGAGAACTAATTGTATTTTGAATGAAGATAAAATGATGTAATTTGGAG